GGTGAACTGAGGAGAGGGTGAGGTTGAACTGAGGAGAGGGTGAGGTGAACTGGGGAGAGGGTGAGGTGAACTGGGGAGAGGGTGAGGTGAACTGGGGAGAGGGTGAGGTGAACTGGGGAGAGGGTGAGGTGAACTGGGGAGAGGGTGAGGTGAACTGGGGAGAGGGTGAGGTGAACTGGGGAGAGGGTGAGGTGAACTGAGGAGAGGGTGAGGTGAACTGAGGAGAGGGTGAGATGAACTGGGAGAGGGTGAGGTGAACTGAGGAGAGGGTGAGGTGAACTGAGGAGAGGGTGAGGTGAACTGGGGAGAGGGTGAGGTGAACTGGGGAGAGGGTGAGGTGAACTGAGGAGAGGGTGAGGTGAACTGAGGAGAGGGTGAGGTGAACTGAGGAGAGGGTGAGGTGAACTGGGGAGAGGTGAGGTGAACTGGGGAGAGGGTGAGGTGAACTGGGGAGAGGGTGAGGTGAACTGGGGAGAGGGTGAGGTGAACTGGGGAGAGGGTGAGGTGAACTGGGGAGAGGGTGAGGTGAACTGGGGAGAGGGTGAGGTGAACTGAGGAGAGGGTGAGGTGAACTGAGGAGAGGGTGAGATGAACTGGGGAGAGGGTGAGGTGAACTGAGGAGAGGGTGAGGTGAACTGAGGAGAGGGTGAGGTGAACTGGGGAGAGGGTGAAATGAACTGGGGAGAGGGTGAGGTGAACTGAGGAGAGGGTGAGGTGAACTGAGGGGAGGGTGAGGTGAACTGAGGAGAGGGTGAGGTGAACTGGGGAGAGGGTGAGGTGAACTGGGGAGAGGGTGAGGTGAACTGGGGAGAGGGTGAGGTGAACTGGGGAGAGGGTGAGGTGAACTGGGAGAGGGTGAGGTGAACTGGGGAGAGGGTGAGGTGAACTGGGGAGAGGGTGAGGTGAACTGGGAGAGGGTGAGGTGAACTGAGGAGAGGGTGAGATGAACTGGGGAGAGGGTGAGGTGAACTGAGGAGAGGGTGAGGTGAACTGAGGAGAGGGTGAGGTGAACTGAGGAGAGGGTGAGGTGAACTGGGGAGAGGGTGAGGTGAACTGGGGAGAGGGTGAGGTGGAACTGGGAAGAGGGTGAGGTGAACTGGGGAGAGGGTGAGGTGAACTGGGGAGAGGGTGAGGTGAACTGGGAAGAAGAGGTGAACTGGGGAGAGGGTGAGGTGAACTGGGGAGAAGAGGAGGTGAACTGGGGAGAGGGTGAGGTGAACTGGGGAGAAGAGGAGGTGAACTGAGGAGAGGGTGAGGTGAACTGGGGAGAAGAGGAGGTGAACTGAGGAGAGGGTGAGATGAACTGAGGAGAGGGTGAGGTGAACTGGGAGAGGGTGAGGTGAACTGGGGAGAGGGTGAGGTGAACTGGGGAGAGGGTGAGGTGAACTGGGGAGAGGGTGAGGTGAACTGAGGAGAGGGTGAGGTGAACTGGGAGAGGGTGAGGTGAACTGGGGAGAGGGTGAGGTGAACTGGGAAGAGGGTGAGGTGAACTGGGGAGGGTGAGGTGAACTGGGGAGAGGGTGAGGTGAACTGGGGAGAGGGTGAGGTGAACTGGGGAGAGGGTGAGGTGAACTGGGGAGAGGGTGAGGTGAACTGGGAAGAAGAGGTGAACTGGGGAGAGGGTGAGGTGAACTGGGGAGAAGAGGTGAACTGGGGAGAGGGTGAGGTGAACTGGGGAGAAGAGGTGAACTGGGGAGAGGGTGAGGTGAACTGGGGAGAAGAGGAGGTGAACTGGGGAGAGGGTGAGGTGAACTGGGGAGAGGGTGAGGTGAACTGGGGAGAGGGTGAGGTGAACTGGGGAGAGGGTGAGGTGAACTGGGGAGAGGGTGAGGTGAACTGGGGAGAGGGTGAGGTGAACTGGGAAGAAGAGGTGAACTGGGGAGAGGGTGAGGTGAACTGGGGAGAAGAGGTGAACTGGGGAGAGGGTGAGGTGAACTGGGGAGAGGGTGAGGTGAACTGGGGAGAAGAGGTGAACTGGGGAGAGGGTGAGGTGAACTGGGGAGAAGAGGAGGTGAACTGGGGAGAGGGTGAGGTGAACTGGGGAGAAGAGGTGAACTGGGGAGAGGGTGAGGTGAACTGGGGAGAAAGGAGGTGAACTGAGGAGAGGGTGAGGTGAACTGGGGAGAGGGTGAGGTGAACTGGAGAGAGGGTGAGGTGAACTGAGGAGAGGTGAGGTGAACTGGGGAGAGGGTGAGGTGAACTGGGAAGAGGGTGAGGTGAACTGGGGAGAAGAGGAGGTGAACTGAGGAAAGGGTGAGGTGAACTGAGGAGAGGGTGAGGTGAACTGGGGAGAGGGTGAGGTGAACTGGGGAGAGGGTGAGGTGAACTGGGGAGAAGAGGAGGTGAACTGGGGAGAGGGTGAGGTGAACTGGGAGAAGAGGTGAATTGAGGAAGGGTGAGGTGAACTGGGGAGAAGGGGAGTTAAGCTGGGGAGGAGAGGTGAGCTAGGGAGAGGGGGAGGTGAGCTGGGGAAAGGGGGAGATGAACTGGGGAGAAGTTA